GTTTTAACAGTCGTGAGCAGCTCTTGGAATTCTCTGCCATATTGAATCGCTTGAAAAGAAAAGATATTTCTATTTATTGATCAGCAATCAGACTTTGAGGTGGAATTTAGGCTGTTTCGGCATCTTTTATATGTTGTTCAAGACTAGCTTCTTGCACAAGAAAATCACAGAATAAGTAATTGACAGACGGTACGCTGCGACACTTTGAGAATACCAACAATTTTTTTTCTTTCAATCTGAGTACAATTCAAATACCTCTATTCATGCGTCTTACTTTATTGTTTGTTTACGCGCGGCACTGATCTTAAAATCAGTCGAGAAGACGGAAAGTGACTCCTTGGCAACTTTCAGGGAACAGCTTGTTCATCCTTGTCACATTGTCATGTGAAGAGTAGCCGAGAGCCATCTCAACAGACTCAGGCTGTCTGTCTGTGAATTATTTATCCAAGGGAAAGATTTCTTTTTTTTTTTACACATGCAAGAACAAGAAAGAGCTAAGTCTTTCCCTGAATTTATTTTCTTCCTATTTCAGTTGAGCTACATTTAAAATATGTATTTCCTGTTTTAAATAGTTTTACATGATACCGCAGTTTTTTTAAGTGCAGAGGAAAGGCCTGGAGTTATCTTTTACAGAAACTGAAAGCAGTGCAGTATTTATCGCTTTTAAAAGAATTGTTTAGGTTCAACAAATATGTGCTTCTAATTTCTAGCTAATTTATATAAACAATAATTTTAGCAACAACAACTTCCAAACCTTTCTGACCACTTTAACTATTTAATAAATGTTCTTTCTCTATTTTTTTACATGGATCTCTAAATGTTCATGTTTTCTGCGTAATCATCAATGCTAAGTGCAGAGTGGAACGTGTCGGCATGTGTCTGCATTCTGCAGGTCTACAGCTGTGTATTATTGTGGAATTCACATGGGGAGGCGGGGTTTGATCAATTCCAAGCATCTTATTTTGCAGTCATTGACTCACAAAAATTACATAAAATATTACATCAAAATGGTGCCAATTGTAATATTTTATCATATATTGTGTCTAGCATTGATCTGGAAAGTGTAAAATAGTATGATACAGGCCCTTTAACATCCAGGAGAGAGCAGAGTGCGTCTCGACTAGCAGAAGCACAACGTTAGCATACAGTTTGGCAGAACTATTTCTGGCTCGTGTTAGTTGCAGAGATAAAACGTCAACATTGCAGAGCAAATGGAGTCAGTGGTCGAGTCACACTGTTGTGTAGCCAATCAGAGGTGAGATGTCCAAATATCAGGAGACAATATTAACACTCCAAACCCCCACACTCCTCTGTCTAATGTCTACTTGCTGAAACAAGAGCACCAGAGCTTTTTTTCCACAGAAATCAACTCACAAGGCATTGGTTTGTACCAGAGGCCACTGCAAGTGTATGTAAACGTGAATGCAAGCTTTAAAAGAAGAGAAAACCTCAGACAACAAACTGAGGATCCTGACTCCACAAGGTCAACACCTGCACCCACTGTTGCAGACAGCACAATCTCCTGGTTACCACAGCAACTCTGACTCCAGGCCACCTGTAGTCAATCACCACATTACAAACACATACACGCACACTACACTACACACACATACAGACAGATACAGTCCACTTTCTGCACAAACACACTGATTCAGACTCCTGTACACACATATGTGCCATCAGTTGCAACAATCTTGTTTTGTTGATGCTTATCTGCAAAATGCTTTTCTTCTTACAAGGGCCTCTGGCTTTGCTCAAGTGTATCTGCAGACGAAAGAAAATTCAGTTTTTTTGTGATTTTAATGACAAATTACCAGTGTTGGGGAGAATACTTTGTAAATGTATTTAGTTACAGAATACTGAACTTTAAAATTTATTTTGTAACTTATTCTGTTTGCTTAATCCTGGTACTGTATTCTAAATACTTCTCCTTACAAACAGCATTTAAGTTTATTAAATGTCATAAAATGTGTTGGTAGCTACTCCCACAGGAAAACTGAGGGCGTGTTAATGCTAAACATTACAAACTGACTGGGAAAAAATAAATAAAACAATTTAATTATTTTTGTTACTTTATTTATCTAAGTGTCAATTGACGATGCAATGGCGGTTTGCCCTGCTGACTGACATCCGTAGCGGTCCAATCACAGTCACCATAATCAGTGGAGAATACACAGGTATTTCAATGGTAATACGAAAGTAAATGTATTCTAAATACCGTGTTTAAGAACAGCAAAGGAATACAGTTCCTTGTTAATATTCTAAATACATAATAGCAGAAAATGCATTCAGTTACACCTCAACACTGCTTATTCCTGCAAAGATGTCACCCTACCAAATGTGTAGTGTTTTGGAAAGAGTGCTCTGACTGTAAAGATATTAAAGGAAAGATTTTGTTTTCTGCAGATTTTATCTTTTATTTGTGGAACAAATGCATGTAGTGATATTAGACTACATGTTCTGCCTTTATATTCCAAGGAGAAATGACAAAATGATCTGATTACGAAAGAGCTCGCTTCGAGAGAGAAGATGGATTTCAGGGGCATTTTATTGATGTTTATATTCTGCACACAAGCCAGCATTGCAGACTCTGTATTTGACTCTGTTTTGCCACTTTTACACTTGAAAAGGTCACATGTTGTGCTGCGTTGGATCCTCAGGTGGGATTTTGTTGCATTTCTCCAATTTGTCTTAAAGCTCCTGTACAGCCATTCCATGTGCTTCATCTGCTCTGTTCTACACTCTTCACTGAAAAGCATTCATATTATTGTTACATTTATTTTTATGAAACATAGCTGTGATTTTATTTTTCTTCCTTCTCTGTGCATCTGGTGTTGTGGCATTTGAGTCATGTAGCGCTAATGTCTGACTCATCATAAGTCAACCACGTAATAACCGCCCTCTTGTTCTTCACCGAGGTCCTCCTCACAATGCATCCTGAAGTAGGATGGCTTCGGCATTTCCTAACAGAAAAAGTGTTTGGTTTGTTAGCTGTGATTTAGTGTATTTAAAGCTGAACATTTTTTTAATAAGTTATGGATTTGAGATTAATAGAGAAACGGGAGATGTAAAGAAGGGCTTTCCTCATTTATTACATTCTTGCTTTTGTTGCATACTCTTGGCAAACTGCCCCTACTTCCTGTTACCATCTGAACGAGAATGTCAACATGTTGAAGGTTAATACTAAGTTAATTGGGAGCTAGGATGCTTTAATACAGAGCGCCAAATCACGTGACTCGATGGCAAAGGGGGGGGGGGGGGGGTATTGTTGATCTCTGCCTTGCTTTTTCATTTTGTGATGTTTATGATTTGATTAAGCTTCCATTAGTCTTTACCTAAAGGATGCAGACGTGTATTATGCAGCTCGAATTATTAGATCTGACTGCAACATGTTCAATAGACTCCATGTTGCATTTAGAAATGTGCTGTTTTGTTAAAAATGAGTAGAAATTATTTCTCAAGATGCTTTAAATTTAACTGGAAAAGTCGATATTCAGATGAAAAAAGTCAGTTTTTATTCATATGGTCTGTTATAGTGGATTTCTGTATGTAGGCTTTCTGTATGTAAAACATAAAGAAAGAAAAATCTAAAATCTAGATCTTTATTTTAATGAATGAAGACATACATAAACATGAACGCAAATCCTGGAAAAACAAAGACAGGGCCTCTATTTCTGGGCTTCCGTGTTATTTCTACTTGTCTGGGGTGAATTTCAAACTACATGCCAATTTCTTACTCAGAAAATTTGTGTATTCATTTTTTTCCACTGTGAATGTTTTCTAACCTCAGCAATAGCATCTTTTATTTTATCAACATATTTTCCTCTATTAGGATGTGTTGGACATACATTTGGCCATCTGGCATATTTTCATAACTGCCCTCCTTTTCTAGAAATCGAGATTATATGCTAGTAGGACAATCTCCCTGGAAACATGAATTCAAGCATGGTAATTGGTAGTTAATGTGACTTTTATTTTTTTATTTTTTTATTCTTGTTATGGACATATCCCTTGTCTGAAATAAAGTTTGATTGATTGATTGATTTGCTAATTAATGTTTGTTTTGTTTGATTGTAAACCTTGTATTGGTTGATTTAAATTAAACGTCAACATCATAGTGTGTTTGTTACATTTTGAAGAGGATAGCAGAAAAATAGAACATTTAAAGGTCTGGAACACTGAAAAAACATGATTATTTCAGTGAGAAGGCTGTTGTTTTTCATCCAGGAAATAACAGAGAACATCTAAACTAGTAGAAGCTAACTGTTGGCATTAGCACCTCCACCACACAGCAGAAGCTCCTCCAGACTTGTGTTATTTGTGGAGAATAAACATCCACATTGCAAAGCGTTTAGGGGCAGTGGAAGAGCAAATCAGAGGTGAAATGTTCGAATATCAGGAAACAGGACTCCAAATCCTGTCGTGTTCTGCCACTCTCCTCCAACTGAAGTCTACATGATGGTTCAAGTTCTTCTGTGCTTTTTCCCCCTGAGAACAACTCGCAAGGCATTCTTTCTTACTAGAGACCATGGCAAATGTCCTAATTGCATGAGTGTTCCACACCTTCACAGAAGCCAGGGAGGTTTAGTGACATTTTTTCTGTTTCAAAATAGTTAAAAATGTTGTCATGTTTTTTTTCTTCATTTTGTCACAGAATGAGAAAGTAATTGGCTTATGCATGGTTTTATTCCCAGCCCTGATTCCTGTCTTGTGTGTAATTTGTCAGATGGAGGTTGTCCTCTGCTAACCAACAGTAACACCATGTTTACTGTAAACCACACGGGGCAGAACCAAGGGCCCGCTTAGTGAACAAAATTCCCGCCCTAACATCTCAGGGGTTAGTGATTGGAAGCAGATCCTGAGCAGGTTGCAGCAGTCGCTTTTTATTTAAACTCACTCACCTGAAAACACATTTTATTCCAGGGACAGAAACTGGGATCTCTGCTGAACAATTCTGACAAGTTGTCACTAAGACTGCTTTTTTTGTGTGTGTGTTTCAGATATTTACACGCTACGGGAAGTGCTACACCTTTAATTCAGGCTTGGACGGACAGCCCCTGAAGGTGACGACGAAGGGTGGGATGGGCAACGGGCTGGAGCTGATGTTAGATATCCAGCAGGATGAATACCTGCCCGTGTGGGGAGAAACTGGTGAGCTCACACAATACATTTTTCATCTCAAGATTTTTTTTTCTGTTTTCCCTTCAGAGATGACTTGAGTTTAAAAGGGTTGTTTGGATTTTGATAAACAAATCACCAAAGCAGCCAGCTGTTTTAAAGAAATGAAAGCCATCCCTTGAATTCCCCTTCAATCCTCGAGACAGAAACTTGATCAGACCAGACGGCACCCACTGGGAACTCTTTTGATGTAATTGTGAAGCCTTAAATCCATTTACTGCAGTGAACGGGTGCACGCCGTAGACCAGACATGTCTAAACGAGTTTTTTTTTCATTTGCAGAGATTACAGCATGTTGCAAGAACGCAGTTTTCATTCAGAAATTGTGAATAAATCAGATAGACTGTGTCATTAACACTGCATCCCTATGATGTTGCTGATTAATCTCAATGGAGACTGATCAAATAAGGTTTGGTTTGATGTAACTGTATTACTTGTCAGTTAAGCTTTAACGCTCCATGAATAAAAAAATAAGAGTCGCAGAACAGTTGTGCAGAAACTGGATCGATGGCGACTAAAGGCTTTTCCATTCAGGGTCAAACCCCTCATCTGCAGAGTCTCCCAAGCTACTTCAGGCGGCCCTGAATCTTTGATTTTAATGCAGCGGAAGATGTGATGGTGTGTTCGTATCAATATTTTATAGGCTGAGAGAAATTAATGTCACAAAAAGACTGCACTTGGGGTCATTATCGAACAAAGGACACAGTTCAGAAAGCCACACTATTTCAGTACAAGCCACAACTACTCAATGCTCCTGTGATTTAATTATGTTAATATTAAACACCTCTTATTCAAGGTTATTAATCAACTAAGGGTGTTAACACAATGAGTAGGGAAAGGTTAAGATGTTGCAGATATGCTCATTATAAACACCATTAGTATTTATTTTGTTTTATAGCTACTTAGATTTTATAAATGATGAAACATTTGATATATTTGCCGTTTGTTAATTATTATTTTTGATATGCGATCGGTCATGCTGAACATGAAAATGGTCTTCTACTCCTTTTTCCTGCTTTAGCCGCTGATAGAAAATAGACGGGAAAACATTCAGGTCAGAAAAAGCCTCTCACATTTATGTCACGCTGTAAATTAATTTACCCATCTTGGCTCACGAACGCAGAAGGCTGCATTGATTTTTGCTTCCAGGAGAGAGCAGAACGCGTTTTGGCTAGTAGACGCTAACTGTTAGCATTAGCAACTCCACAACATGGCCGAACTCCTTCAGGCTTATGGGCGGTGCCAGGCAGCAGCTTGAGGTTGCAACGGCAGGATTCGACTAAGTGAAAACAACTGTTGACAAACCAACACACACACACACACACGCTCTTCAGTCTGCACTACCAGATTATGGCAACCCCTTACACTCATTAAGCAGCTCAGTAAAGCAACTGCAGTTAAAGATTTCCAGCACTGCTCCTGTTGAGGCATGTGGGGATAAAACATCAAGGTTGCAAAGCAAACGGAGGCAGTGGAAGAGTTGGGTTTCTGTTAGCCAATCAGAGGCAAGAAGGCCGAATATCCTGAATGTTAACAAGTAAGACTCTAAATTCTGCCGTTTTTTTTGCTCACCTCTCCTCCAGCCAACTTGTACTTCCTGAAACAGAAACGCCAGAGCTTTTTTCCACAGAGAATGACTCACAAGGCATTCATTTTTACTAGAAACTACTGCTAATTAATAGAAAAAAATTAGTGAATGAGAGCTTTAATTAGATTGATTTTGATATAAAATTGGATGTGATTTCTTGCATTTTTATATTATCTGTTGGCCGGTGATTTAGTTCAATAAACATTTATTACCTCTAATCTGGCTTGATGCCTCAACCTAAATAATGAGCCACTTTAATCACCTTGAATTTCTCCTTTCACCAAGAAATCATGTTCTGTTTAGCATGTGCAGTATGTCTGTAATGTTCCACGTTGATGAATCATGAACCTCATTTCCTTTATCTTGGTGTGCATCCACATTTGCAAACACAAACTCCCCCGAATGCTAAATGTAGCCGAGCGCCGGAACGATCAGAGCAGAAGCTGCCAACAAGAGTCTGCTGCACAAGTCTGAGGCAGAATCAAGGTCAAAAGACAGGCTTTACTTGCAAAGGTTCAGTACACCGGGAGCCAGTCGGCACATTGGGCAAACCGCATCCGACAAGGAGACGGCTGGAGTACTCGTCATCAGGCGAAGATGGAAAAATGCTCTAGGAAAAGAGTTTGGAACTGCTGCAAATAACCTCAAGAAATTGCTGTACTTTGTTTATTTCATGCTATATTTAGTTATAAGAAGTGGGTTATTATTATTTTAGTAGCAAAATATTCATTTTGTTTCTAACAAATGGAGATACCGGTTCAACACCACACAAGCTGCAGCTTTTTCTGGTATTTTCTGTTTTTTTCTGAAGAGCTCCTTGTTTGTTTGTTTGTTTGTTTGTTTGTTTGTTTGTTTGTTTGTTTGTTTGTTTGCTGCATTTCTGGTCACTGCTGACCCTGGAGTGTTGCCATCTCCATTGCTTTCTGACCTCTCCAGCTTCTGAAGGAGACAATATGCAAGAAAGATTGCTTTGTTGCATTTTGGAGGGTTTTTTTTCCTTCTGAATCTTTTCCCATATATTAGCATAATGCTCTGTTTTTTCCCTATATTTGGTCCAGAATAAGGATGAAGCAGAGGTTTCCTCCCACAAAAACTGGAGACAAACCTGCATTAATGGTATTGTGATGAATGATGCTCACAGATGAACATAAAGCTACCCCCAAAAATGATTTAAGTTATAGAAGGGAATCGCTCAACAGGGTGAGTTGCTTGTTTAAAAAAATATAATGTATCCAACTCCAGAGAATATCAAAGTCTAGAATAATCTTCCAGAGCAGCCCTGACCTAAATCTTACTGAGCACCTTTGGGACTTTATGGAGAAAATACTAGCTGGATCACTCTGAGGGAATCAGAAAACCTGCGAACCCAAGCCAAATAAAAAGAGACGGACTATCAGAGAGGACAGATCTCCTGTGAAGAGAAGGTTTGAAGCTAATTTCTGCTGTGAACCAACAACATGAGGTCATAAAACATCTCAATGCAGGTGAAACGGGTCATCCTTACGCTGAACAAGCCAAACAAATTCACCTGCAGCAAGATGAGAATGGCAAAATAAAACAAATAAAATACCAGTTAGCTAAGCAACATAAAGAGACATGAACATCTAGAGAAAATAACTGATGTGGGAAATCACTGAATACTTTTTGATGGTGAAGAAAATCTCACTTTCAAGTGAAGAACCGCCTGAAGGAAACTAACATGTCATTCAGCAGTTTTAGAGAAGAATTACAAAATGCAAATACAAGAGATCCCCCTAAAATGCCAAATATTCAGCAGCTTCAAGACTCAAGTATTTTTTTAAGTTATGTCGTTTTTTTAAAAGCATATTTAGAAATCTGAACATGTGTGGATTCCAGAGGCAGTGATAGTCTTCCTTTTCAGACATGGAATATTCTGCAATTGTGCAACTGAACATTGCCTCAGGTATGTTCTTGTAACTCAATGAAAAGAAAACAAAAGATTAATTTAGTTCTAAATGTTCAGGTGCCAACAGTTACAAAAAATATTTGATGTTATTTTTGCTTGTAAAGTAAATTTGACCTCTAAGATTGTTCTATATTTTTAACCTTATGGAGGCAACAGTGACTCGCGTGTTTGCCCTGAAACCGGTGGGTTGCTGGTTTGAACCTAGGCTCCGCTCATGTAAGACGTGTCGTTGGGCAAGACACTTGGAGTGTTTGGTTACAGCAGCCATGCCTCTGTCCGTGAGCCCCAGGGCAGCTGTGGCTACAGTGTGTGAATCAGTGAATGATTCACTTTAGTGTAAAGTGCTTTGGAGTCCTCTGTCCCAGAAAGGTGTTATACAAGTGCGGGTCATTTATTATTTACAATCATTTGGATGTAAAATGCATAAAATGTGTCTAAATTGAATTTTTTCCCATTATTTGCCAACTGTTCTTAGCACAAAAAGTACAAACATTAATGTTTTGCTGATTATTTCTTTGTTTTACCAATTTTCTTGGTTGCTTGTCATGCTGTACGTTCCTAGAGTGACCAACACCACCACGCTGTTACATGTGACCAGGCTGATGGGCAGCAAGAGGAAGTGGACCCAATCTCTTGTGGCAGACAGACGACAGATGATTTGCTATCTCCACAGCGAATCATCTGTCGTCATTTAGACCTATTATCCACATCCTCTACCCTCACACCAGCTAACTGCATGTCCTCTTCTACTGTTTGCTCAAAGATCTCCATTTTGTTTTACCATTCCGCTTCCTTTCTGGTGGCTCCAAAACTCAGCATCCTTCTACCTGTGCAATCATTGTATGTCCTCTGGACATGTTCAAACCGTCTCAGTCTGTCCTCTCTGACTTCACCTCCAAAACATCTAAAATGTGTTGTCCTTCTGATGGACTTATTCCTGATCCTACCCTTGTCACTCCCAAAGAGAACCTCAACATTTTAAGCTCTGCAGCCGCTAGTTCTGCTTTATGTCTTTTCTTCATGGACACCGTCTCTAAACCAGACTCCACGGCTGGTCTCACTACTGTCTTCAACACTTTTCCCTTCATTCTTGCTAAGTTAATTTAATCACACACCACAGCTGACATTTTTCTCCACCCATTCCAGCCTCTTTTGCTTTGGACCATAGTCCCTAAGGACTTCAAGTCCCCTCTACTGTCTACTTCTACTCCCCATATCAACACCACTCCTCTTGTGCCCCTCTCATGTACACACATGTATTCTATCGTGCTGTGACTAATCTTCATTCCACTTGAAGCTTTTCCTCTTTTTTAACTAATAATCAAACATGCAAACATGATAGTCAGCAGAGACTCGTGTCTAACATGATCTGTCCACATCATTATAAGTTGATGCACTTCAAGTAACTCAAATGCACAATGCCTACAAGTAATACCTTGCAGTAAAGGAGGTTAATTAGTCTTTCCGAAGCCAAATGGTTTATGGGCAAGAGGTGTTGTTGCAACAAAGAAATCAACCAAACACAAATTTCCTTATTTTTTGTGTGGGATTGTTTTGGCTGCAGAAAGAATGATTCCATAAGAAGGACAGCTCCTGTTAGATGTTGTGGAGATGAACTAATGGAAAACACAACAGAAACAGGAGCAAAAAAATGTGTGTTTGGTTTGCTGGGATGTTTTATTAGATTTTTAAGCCTCAAGGTTGTACATTTATTGTTAACTATCTGTGGTTTTATTGGTTTTGCTGATGAGAAATTCCCTGTGTAATATTTACATATCTGGAATTCTTTTATCTTTTTGTCGATATTCGGATTTTCTAAACACAACAGATGGCCTTGATTTAAATGGCTGTTCTACCCCTAAGTGAAATTTTGCCTATTTTTGTATGAGAAAAAAGCATTTTGTAACCAGCACAGTAATTCTACTGATCTTGTAGCAGTCTGTCTACTTTAGCTTAGCATAAGCAATGTGTCACAACGTGGCGGTGAGTGAGGCAGATACAAGGATCCACATGCGGGTGAGGGAAGCAGGGAGGCAGACAAACTGTAACGAGTAAGTGTCTTTAATGAGGAGAGCACGCAGGACAATGAAACAATGAGCCAACCAGACAAACGGGACTAACAGGGTTTAAATACAGGAGGAGCTGGGACCTTGGGTGATTGGGAGACGAGAGGCAGGTGGGAGCAATTAACATGAACACAGGACTGAACAGAATAGGGAGACAGGAAGTAAAGAGCAGGAATTAGCATTTTGTGTGCAAAATGATTAAAATTACTCAATAATGATACCAATTGTTACTGGTGAGCTCAATAATCATGTTAACTGCAAATGTAAAGTAAGAAATGACATGAAGAATTTTCAGGAGCCGATTTAGACTTGGGACTACGTTAAAACAAAGCACCACTGTAAGCCGCCGCTGCATGGCGCATGGATACAACACAGCAGTCTCACTTACCTAACTCTGGGGAATACGGCAATAGACAAAATTTTACTTAAGGGTGACATATCCCTTTAAGGATTACATGTACTTTTCTAAGTGGAAGGTTGAGTCACTTCCTGTTATATTTACTGTATATGTGCAGCTCTAAGTCTGGAGCATTTGTTTTGGCAGCAGCACAAAACGGTTTGATACCCCATCTCTCCAGAGCAACGCATTACAGTTCAAATCTGTCTCACTTTGTTGAGGCTTTCTAGTAAAATTCCAGCCACATCTCTGAGATCAGTGAGAAAACAGTGAGAAAGCCGTATTCTTAGACGATCATAGCAAGTGACAGCTAGAGAGAGGGGAGGCGAGTGGGCAGAAAACAGACATCCTAGCTCATTTCAGAGGAGCAAATTTTCTAGACTCCAACCTGCCATCACCACAAAAGGCAGTTTTAGGTCACCGCACTTGTGATAGAAATATGTTCGTATATGTCTGAATCTGTGTGTGATTGAGGTTTTCCTCTCTACGAAGAATTTGAGAGGCCCCTCTGCTTGATTTAATATCCATACATCAAAGTCGTGTATGGAAGGAAGCTCTCAGCTGTATTAATTTTCCTTTTTCCCACGTCATTTTATATTTATTTATTTATACATTTGCTATCATTTCCCTTACCATGAAAACAGCTTCTGTGGGGGAAGTATTCCCGTTCAATAATCTATTTTGAAAGCCCATCAGCTTTATCTTTTCACTCCTGATTAAAGGCGTTATTAACTCCCCAAACACCACCAATGAGTTTGTCATTCATGGAGAGTCTAGCGTTTGGATTTTTGATGGATAGGCGATCAGAGCGTAAAATAAGACTTTGTCGCTCTTGGTTCCCAGTTTGTTTTACACTCCCCGACTCAAACACACTCTGCAAAGCTCCGGCTCTGTCAAGTTTGTAATGACTGCTTCTGATTAGACGGTGTAGGCCAACGTGTGCATACAAATCATCATCCCTTGGTTGTAACCATGCTAACCTTTTACTCTCCACAGATGAAACATCATTCGAAGCAGGGATTAAAGTTCAGATCCACACCCAGGATGAGCCGCCTTTCATTGACCAGCTGGGATTCGGAGTGGCACCGGGGTTTCAGACCTTCGTTTCCTGTCAGGAACAACGGGTATGTCTTGGAAGAGATAAAATAAAATGTTAGAAGTGTTGTGCATTTTTCTAATGAAAGAAGTCATTTAAGCAAGCTTTTTCATTACATTGTAAAAAATAATTGTTTAATTCGGGCTGCGCAGTGGCGCAATGGTTAGAGCTGTTGTCTTGCAGCAAGAAGGTCCTGGGTTCGCTTCCCGGCCTGGGATCTTTCTGCATGGAGTTTGCATGTTCTCCCTGTGCATGCGTGGGTTCTCTCCGGGTACACTGGCTTCCTCCCACAGTCCAAAAACATGACTGTTAGGTTGATTGGTCTGTCTAAATTGTCCTTAGGTGTGAGCGTGTGTGTGTGTGATTGTTTGTCCTGTGTGTCTCTGAGTTGCCCTGCGATGGACTGGCACTCTGTCCAGGATGTACCCCGCCTGATTGCCCATTGACCGCTGGAGATAGGCACTAGCCCCCCGCGACCCTAAATGGACAAGTGGGTTCAGACAATAGATGGATGGATGAATTGTTTACTTCATCAAAACACATTTCTATTCACTAAAAACTTGTAATTTAGCAGTTGTTTATCATCATGTTTTTTTTATTTATCAGTGCAGATGATAAATTGCATCGATTGCAAAACTTTTGCTAAACATGTGTAAAAATGTATGCATTTTTCAAATTCTTTTGGGTCAGAAAAAAAAGTCTCCTTAAATGTTTGAAAGCATTACCCACAATGCACCATGACCCCGGATGGTGTCCCCCTATCAAATAGAGACGCATGAAACTGTTAAAGAACATCAAATTAACAGTAATGTTACTAAAGTGACTATTCACCGAAATGTTTCACATTTGAGGTTGCACAATACTGACTGATTGACAAAGCCTGAGATGATTGGAAACAACAACAGCGAGAAAATAAAAAATATTAAAAACATTATAAATAAGTCAAAATCCTGCTGGGGAGTTTGTTCTGAAGGGATAATGTGTAAAAAAAACATTTTACTGTTCCAGTATCATGGTCTGGGTTCTCCCCTGCCATTCTCTGAGTGTTTTTTTTTAGTTTCCTTCAGCAGGTGGGTGTGTCTGGAGGTGGCCAAGCTGCAGATCATTCGCTCATCAGCCGGTCAGGTGTATTTAAGCAGCTGAGAGATGCCATCACTTCGCTGGATGATTACTCTACCTGGAAAACCCTCTACTCCCATCTCTGACCGACTGAACTTTGGATTATCTCTACACACTGCTCATCTCTCAGCCCGTCCCTGACCATCCACCTCCTGCTGCCCCACCAAGACCAACCTGGATCCGTACTACCGCACGACTCAGCTCCCTCAACCTCCAACCCTGGATTCCTACTCCCTGTAAGTCCCTCCAACCCTGGATTCCTACTCCCTGTAAGTCCCTCCAACCCAGACCGGACCACCGTCCCTCACTCGAGCCATTACGCCACCAAGACCATTCCCGCACCAGATCTCTGTCGGAAGAACTCAGCAAATTTTGTTGCTCTTTTAGTTTCTCCCTTAATAAATAATTGTTTAAAACTTTCGCCCTTGTCTGAGAACTGGTTCTGTATGTCGTGGGTTAGTCACTTACCTCACAACATGACAGAATCATCCAGCCAATCTTCTAACCTCAGTACCGAATCAGTTCCTCCCGTCATCGCTGCAACCTTGTCTCAGCACAGTGCCACACTCCAATCCCTCTCGGATCAACTAACCAAACCTTGTTTCAGCTGGGCATTTTGGTAAAACAACTCAACGACAGACTAACCTCTCCAGAACCCACTGTTCCTCCAACCCTGAGTCCGCCCGGACCTGTTTCTCCTGCACCATCCGGTCCGCCCAACTTCCGGGTCGCCACGTCACCTCCACCTGAGACGTTCAACAGCAACCGAAATGTTTGTAGGGGCTTTCTCCTCCAGTGCCATTTGGCTTTTCAACGGTCTCCTGAATCCTTCGCAACCGACGCAGCCAAGATCTCCTATATTGTTGGGCTACTGCGCGGCAAGGCACTCAGGTGGGAGGAGGCAAAGAGCCGTACCTCTAGCTTCCTCACGAGCTCATTAAGTGATTTCCTGTCTGAGTTTAACTTGACATTTGATAGTTCCGAGTCCGCTTCAGAGCTCGCAAGACAGATCTAGAGTTTACGCCAGGGTAAACAGTCGGTGGCTGATTTCGCCATAGAGTTCCAGACTTTAGCAGCCACTTCAGCTCTCTAATGCCTCCCTTAAGGGAGCCTTCTCACGGGCCTTCAATGTACAACTCCAGGATCAGCTGGCTTTTTGTCAGGAATCCCCAGATCTAGAGGGACTGATAACGTGATGTAACAGGATTGAGAGGAGACTCCAGGCTCGACACAAAGGTAATAACTCATTTGCTCCTTTTCATAACCACCACCAGTCCAGTTTACCTTAGTCAGCCCCAGCTTCACTCCCAAGCGAACCCATGCAGATCGGCCAGACAAAACTAAGCCAAGAGGAGAGAAGTAAAAGAATGAGAGCTGGTCTTTGTTTATATTGTGGATTATCTGGCCATTTTGTTTCTGATTGTCCCAGCCAGTTAAACCCCAAGGCCCATCAGTAGCTCCGAGCCCATAGGGTTTCGTCTTTGGATGGCAGTTCACTAACCCCCATCACCCACAAGACTGCTCCTGTTCGACTCCTGATTTCAGGTAACCATCAGGAAGAGTTAACATTTTTTGTGTTCCCATCTCCTCAGTCTCCAGTCATCCTGGGACATCCTTGGCTCAAGAACCACAACCCCCACATCAACTGGTTGTCCAACAAGGTCGAGATGTGGAGCAATAAATGTCACACCACCTGCCTAGGCTCAGCCCGTCTCAGTTCCGAGCTTCGATCCCCGGAAATATCACCTCCTAACCTCACTGGAGTTCCCATCGCATACCACAACCTTCAACAGGTATTTTCCAAAGACAAGGCATCCTCCTTACCTCCACACAGACCATATGATTGTGCTATTGACCTGCTTCCTGCAGCATCTCTTCCCTCTAGTCGTCTTTACAGCATCTCCAAGCCCGAACGTGAATGCATGGAGAAATACATCTCGGAGTCCCTGGCTTCTGGCATTATCCGACCCTCTACATCTCCCCTGGGGTGGGGTTTTTTTTTTTGTGTCCAAGAAGGAAGGTTCTCTCCAGCCATGCATTGACTACCGAGGGCTAAACCAGATAGCAGTACGAAATAAGTACCCGTTACCCTTATTATCATCTACATTCGAACCCATACAGGATGCAACCATTTTCACAAAACTGCATCTTCGGAACGCTTACCACCTGGCACGGATAAGGGTAGGAGATGAATGGAAGATGGCTTTCAAGATCCCTGTTGGACATTTAGAGTATTTGGTAATGCCTTTTGGTCTCACAAATGCCCCAGCGGTTTTACATTCCCTGGTAAACTCCATTTTGAGTGATTATCTGAATAAGTTTGTCACCATTTATCTGGATGATATTTTGATTTTTTCGAGGACCCCCGAGGAACATTCAGGACACGTCCTTGCCATCCTCCAATGCCTGCTGGAGAATCGTCTCTACGTCAAGGCGGAGAAGTGCGAGTTCCACGTTCCGTCCGTCAAGTTCTTGGGGTTTGTTATTGAGAGTGGTAGACTGGGACCCGATCCTGAAAAGGTACAAGCAGTCCAGGACTGGCCCACACCCACGACACGCAAACAGTTGCAAAGGTTTCTCGGATTTGCAGATTTTTACAGACGCTTTATCAAAGGGTACAGTCAAATTGCCACGCCCCTAACTCAGTTGACCTCTGTCAAGGTACCCTTTTCCTGGAACCCTGAAGCCACCAGGGCTTTTTCTGCGTTAAAAGAGAGATTTGTTCAAGCTCCTGTGCTCACCCATCCTAACCCGTCTCAACAATTTACTCTCGATGTTGATGCCTCCGATACAGGAGTAGGGGCTGTTCTGTCTCAAATTTCTCCCACAGACCACCGTCTCCATCCCTGTGCCTTCTCGCGACACCTCTCTCCAGCCAAGAGAAACAACAACGTCGGGGATCAGGAACTTCTGGCAATAACACTCGCCTAGGAGGAGTGGAGACACTGGTTGGAGGGAGCTGAGCACCCCATTGTGATATGGACAGATCACAAAAACCTTGCCTGTCTAAAGGAAGCCAAGAGATTAAATCTGCGACAGTCCAGGTGGTCTCTGTTTTCCTCCTGGTTTCATTTCATTATCTCTTACAGACCTGGCACCAAGAATGCAAGACCCGATGCCCTGTCCCGACAGTACTCTGTAACCCAGATCCGGAACCAGATACAATCATTCCTTCAGACTGTGTCCTTGGAGCCATCACCTGGGAAATTTGGGACCAAGTACTCAAGGCCCTGAAGACTGCTCCCAGCCCAGACAAGGTACCTCACAACACTCTGTTCGTTCCCTCCTCTGTCAGGAACAAGGTCACCCATTGGGCCCATACGGCAACATTTTCTGTTCACCCCGGAGTTAGCCGAACTGTGGCACTCATCCGACGGTCGTTTTGGTGGCCCAACAAGTTCAAAGAGGTGAAGGAATACATAGTCGCTTGCCAGACATGTGCCAGAAATAAATGTAGTAATCAACCACCCCATGGCTTATTAAATCCATCACCTGTCCCGTCCAGACCGTGGTCCCATATAGCAATGGATTTTGTTACCGGTCTTCCCCCCTCTCGTGGGTTTTCTGTAATCGTGACTGTAGTAGACAAGTTCTCCAAGGCCTATCACCTCATACCTTTAAAGGTCCTCCCCTCTGCCGCCGAGTCAGAAACCTTGCTGATAAAGCACGTTTTCAGATTGCATGGCATCCCCGCAGAGATACTCTCCAACCGAGGCCCCCAGTTCATCTCCCGAGTCTGGAGGGAGGAGTTTGGATTTCGCCACCTGCCTCGGGGCCAAGGTCGCCCTTAGCTCCGGATTCCACCCTCAATCAAACGGACAGTGTAAGAGGATGAATCAGGAGTTGGAAGCTATGCTCCGCTGCCTATGCTTATCTAACCCCTTCAATTGGAGTTCCCAGTTATCCTGG